TAGAAATAAAGAATACGGATATAAAATACAAGAAAAACCTCTCGCTCTGTATAAAACAGTATGGGAATAAAGAACAAGGACAAAGAGCGTGAGAATTAAGAATGTGAAAATAATGATGGTTAAAAATATCTTAGCGTTACCAATCAAAATCTACCCCAAATTTCGTAATAAAGTCACCAGTTTTCCCAAACCAGCCTAATTCCAAATTTGGAATACAAGCCTCAAGCCATATCGATATCGATATGTCTAAGCTATTTTCGTAATGACGAAAGATTTCGTCATATCATTCGTTGATAGAACCCTAGCCACGGTGAAAAAGTGTCAGATCATGTGATATTTGTGTATGTCCGGAAAAATTCTACGTTAATAAAGGTAATTGTTAAAGATTATTGTTAAATGTTAATTTAAAGGTTAGGATTAGGGTTAGGGTTAGAGCTGGGTCAACGTTATATGTAAATTTGTCTTTTTCATTGTAATGATCGATTTGCAGTGATAATTAAAATAATAATGGAATTTAAAATTAGAACAAAAGGATCAAGCATTTTTGCACACTTGAATGTTCTTTGTGATTAAATGTTTATGTATAATTGATTTCTTTAATTAAAATAATTAAAGAGAAACTTAATGTTTTTGTATGATTAATTTTTTTAATTAAAATAATTAGAGTGAAACTTGTTATGTTAATAAAATATACAAATATATAGACTGAGAGAATTAGAAAAGGATGCTCTAAATATCGCGTGCAATAAAAGAGTCTTTATTTGCTATCAAATAAAATTTCTATATAATTCTCTTTAAAGCTCAATTATATTATATTGTGTTGTCTTAATTATATGTTGAAGTTGGAAATAGGATAATATTTTAAAAGAAAACCTGATTAAATTAAAATCAAATAAGTATTATAGTTTTTTAAACTAAATATTATTAAAGTAAAACCAAGCAAATATATTATAAATATAGGAAAATAAGTATCAACATGACACTATAAAATACAAAACTAATTTAATTATTTCATATCATGTAATCAATTTTTGCAAGAAAAAAAGTAAAATTCATCAATAGTACCAGTACAATTATATTATAACTATAAATTCTAGAAATTAATAGCAAATTTCTGATGATTAAAAGTAAGAATGGTTGCTAAAATAACATCATCTAATTAAATAATTAACTTGCCAAAATTAAATCTGAAATTATTTTGACTTATTTTATTAGTAGCCAAAATTGTTTTTCAAAATTATTTGAATTCTACAAACCAAAACAAGTATTTTTAGATGATTTTTAAGTATTTATTAATATAAGCAACATAGCAAAACTAAATTATTTGCTAAAATATCATTTTTTCTAAAAATAATTTAGAAAATTATCTTTAGTTGAAAGTTTCAAGAAAGTCATACAACAAAATGCTAAATAGCTAACTTTGCTTTTATATTATTATCAAAAATAACATGTATTAACAAAGTTAATTATACTTTTTTTGGCAATTTTTTTTGTACATCAAATTGTGTACATCAAAATTCTGATTGGCTAATTTCTATCACATGATCTATTCACTCAATATGTTCATTCAACATCAACACATAAATTCTGATTAGTTGATGATTGACTGATAAGTATATATGTGATTTCTGATTAATTATTAACAAGATGTCAGGTAATATAAACTAATGAGAATGTGTAAAATTCGATCAATCCTGGCATGCAAATCTGAAATGAAAGAATACAGATAATAAGATGCTAATAAAAATGCTGGGAAGATGATTTTATATTATTTAATATCTCGCTAACTCTACGTCCACATTCAATTTTAAATTTATAAATACTTGTGAGCATAAATTAGCAAGCTTACAAATTTATTACTGCTGAATTTTGTTTAATGACTTTTTTACTATTAAAAATTACAAATTATTATACTATATATCAAACTGGAACTAACTTATATAATCATAGAGTTTATTAGTAAATACAAACCAGAAACAATCTCAATAGAGAATAAAATTGTTATGCGTTAAAATAATATTGAGAATTTTTAGTAAACCTGTTTGACAATGATTCTAAAGATATTAATGCGTGACTAATTTATATGACATGTTTGCGTTGATATAATAGCAAAGAAAGTAAGCCAACCATTAGAAAGACCCAACTTATTACAGATCGGTATATACTGCAAATTTAAAGGTAGCAGTTGTGCAAACTTATTTGGCTTGAGTTTAACTAGCATGATGTGATTATATCCATGCTATTGTAGGATAATAGATCTTTTGCGAAGACCAGGCTTTTGATCAAATGGTAAGAAAGACAAACTTGTATTAGAATCTGTACCAAATACTATTATTGGAATGTTAAAAATGTCTGATGCTAGCTGTGCACATTTTGGCGCATAAAACCAATATTCCTGTGGACATCCAGATACTATACATAACAAAACAATCATTAATCGATTAATATCATATTCAAGCACATTATTATAAAAATCTGTTCATTTAATTAAATAAAATCTCATTTTATTTTTGATATCTTGCCAGCATTCTTCATTCTTAAAGATAGCCATGACTAGTAATCGAAAACCACAATTATTATCTTCAATTGGATTATATACCTGCAATATTAAATTTTGAGAAATACGTGGATCAGACTTTATGTCAGCCAAGTGCAGCATCATATCATTATCTGTTTTTCGCTTCTTTAAAGATACTTTATTTTCTTTCTCTTCTGTACCATGGATATGTCTGTTATTAGAAGAGCAATCACGTGTATGTTTTCCTTTGAACATCTCAATATTGTCACTATTTGTTGCATTATCAATGCTAATCATTTTCAAAATCTTTTGTTGCACAATATTTGACTCACTTTGTAATAGTTTCAGCACTTTACCAGTCTCAAGAACATATTCTGAAGTATGTTTCATCAAATCTAAGAAGTTATCATGATAATATTTTGATAACTACCTAAAAATCTGTGTGACAAGTAGAGAAATCTGATTTGTGATATGCTCTGCTTTTGTGGCATGCTGTACATATCAATGCTCATGAACCTCATTTGGTGGTACATGAATACGCAAATACTGTAAATATACTGTGATAATATGTCTACATGGAGTTCTAGTACATTGTGAATATAAACATGTGCAAATGCTTGGAGCTTCAAGATTTATCATATACGTTAATTTTTCTGATTGCTAATTGTGTTATGTTGTATATACTCTCTTCATATTCAAGCACCTCATACTTAGCTAACTTTGCAAGATCACCCTGTTGCTTCACAAATAATTCGAATGCAAATCGTAAGCATATTAAACGTAGTTCTTCCAGATCCACATCTGTACTATCCTGTATATTTCTATTTTGATGCAAAAATGTTTCATATGCAAGTTTTTGGGAGTGCTCTTGTAGTTATCACCAAAGGATCGATAGCATTCTGTCGACTGGAATAATACGATTTTCAACACTCTTTAACTTACTATAAAGACTTTCAACATGCTGACTTGACTTTATGTCAAGATTTATATTACCATTCATATATGGTGCAAGCCAACTTTTTTTATGCTGCATCCATGTCTCGAGCATATATGTTTTTGTATTTGAAAATCATTCCCACAATCCTGCTATCTCTTGATCGATCTGATTTACTGAAAGATTATTATATACGAGCCTTTGAGTAGCCTGAATAAATTCATCTATTTCAACAACTTTCTTGAGCTTGTTCCGAATGTTTTTAAAAATATGCCAGACGCATAACTGATATTTTGCATGAGAAAATACTGAAGAAATTGCTGCTATAAGAGCCAATTCTTGATCGGTTATAAAAGTTGCCACCTGTACATTACCTATTAATTTAGTAAATACTCGACTTAATTGTTGCATTACCCAATAATAAAAATCATAGGTCTCCAAGTAAACAAATGCAAAGGCTAGTGGATATGTTGATCTGAAATGATCAATGCTATAAATGGTAATTAAAGGCATTGAAAATCTGTTTGTCTTATATGTCGCGTCAATTAGCAGAACATCTTTTGCAATTAATAACTCAGAAATTGCACTATGATATGTCCAGAAGATTGCTTGAATGAATACCCCCTCTTGATCACGTTCGTCATTATGTGCAGCTTTTGTTGCTATATTGCCTACAATATTTTCATCATTTTGTAAAGTTTTAAACAGTATCTCAATTTCATTCAAATCTTGTAATTTGCACTAACGCTGACAGCTCACAGCATTATAGACATCAGGCTTGTAAATATACTTCGAGCTAACAGAATTTAGCACTAAAAATATATCCTTAGTCTGAAGATCATTGTTGTGAAGCTTTTCGATTAGACCAAAGATCATTTTGATCAAATTTGTGTATGACAATGCTGAATTTTGTGGCATCCAGACAAAAATTATAATTATGCTCTAAACATAACTTTGTTATTACGAATTCTTGGGCTCTTTTGCAATAATTTACTCATACAGAAAAAGAACACCCAGTTCACTTGGTGGTATATTTCTTGTTCTTTTTATCATACTTCTCTTGTTTTTCACAGACAAAAAATGCCTGCCTATAGTCATTACGGTCAGAATTTTTGGATATCTTTTCTAAAATTAAAACAGCATTAATTTTTGCAGCATATCTTTCGATAACCGCACGGGCTTTAGCAAATATAAGGAAAACATGTCCAGTTTTTGGAATATCAATTTTCATTATAGTGTCAAGTAAATGGACTTTAGCAAACATAGAGAGAACGCGTTCAGTTTTTGGAATGTCAGTTTCCATTATAGTGACAGGTACATATAAGTAATCATGTTCTGTCAGTAGCAAAAAAATTGCTTATATTATTAGTAGTGATAAGAAGTAGTAATAGCAGAAATTTAAAGACGTATTATATAGCAATAGTATATACTTATCAGTCAATTATCAACCAATTAGAATTTATGTGTTAATGTTGAATGAACATATTGAGTGAATAGATCATATGATAGAAATTAGCCAATCAGAATTTTGATATACACAATCTGATGTACAAAAAAAATTGTCATACTTTTTTTGTTAGCTTAAAATGTATAATGAAAAATAAATATAAAATTAATCACAATATTACTAAAAAAATCTAAAAAAAAATTTACAAAATATTAAAACTGTCCTATCTAAAAATAATATCTTAATTAGTTATAACTTGCAACAATCAATCAGAAAATTGTAACAAAGTAGTGACAAATAATTAGAGAATTGTAATATAATTATGACTTATTACTAGTCCTATTATTTTATAAACTATTTAAATAAAAATATTAGTATTTGAATAGTACAATCTTTTAAAAATCAGTACAATTATAAACTTTTTTTATTACAAGTTCATTGTCTTTATTAATATTAACTTTTTAATACAGAACAAAAAGAATTAATATACATAATGCTCAAAAGTAAAGTATTAACCAAATTAATCACTGATATAGTATTATTATTATTTTACTTGATTTTCACTTTTATTATGTCTTTTTATATACTCAATATATATTTCAAGTCAGATAAAAAAATAAGATAAATAACTAAAAATATAATATATATTTATTCAATATTAATCAGTTAGAAAGTGACTTAAAAATTTTCTTATAATTTAATATATATATATATAATATAATAATTATAATAATAGTTTATAGACAAGTAAAATATTATAAATTCATTTATTACATTATTTCAACAATATAATAATATAAATATATGATAGATTGACTATAAATATAATATTACAAATATGTAAGAGATTATCAATATAATATTATAAATATATAAAAGATTATAATAAAACTAATATAAAACTTAAAAACTTAAATAATAAAATAATAAAAGAAATTATATTAATATTTTAATTGTATTAATTTCAAAAGAATATTATTATTAAAAAGTTAATTTTTGAGTTATTAATATTTTTATGAGAACTTGACTTTTTTTGACTGACTTTTTTAAGCTAAAATACATACTTTTTTATAAAAAATTACTAAATTAAAATGATCAATAATATTTATAAGAAAATTACTTATTTGCTTACTTAATCACATGCTTATTTTGTAACTTAATATAAATATAGATTATCTAAGATAATATAATAATAATATAAATAATATTATATAAGACAACTCAAGTTTCTCTTCTTATACTAATTTTTTTATTTCTTTTATTACAAAAAATACAAAATTCAAACTTTACAAAAATATTATAAATTATAAAAAACAAAAAATTTCTTTTTTCTTTTTATTTTATATGTATTTTCTTAATTAATCACTATATTTATATAAATTTACTACTAACAAAATAAAATATTCAAAAACAAAAAAAATAACTTTACTAATTTTTCTTCTTCCATACTAAGTCATATTTCAGAAACTATAGGTATCTTATCTCAGCAAGAAAATATCAAGCAACAAATCATCTCTAATACATCCAGCAATTTTTCAGATATACTTTCTGAATTCAAAAAAGATATTACCCATTTCAAATCACTCTCATAAACAAGTAAATCACTTATGTGTTCTCAGATCAAAAAATTAAATATATACACATATCAGAAATGGAAATTTTCTCTAATAATAATAAATTCACAATATCAGATATGACAGGATACACAATAAGTAATGATATTATTTTAGACATGAATACAGAAACTAATAATGATAATATTATAATATCATCATCCAAATTGAAAATTCAAATAATATTCACACATTTTTGAAAATAGACAGAGTAAAAATCTTACTACTCCTAGATTAACAATCAATAATCGAACAAAGAGATATTTATATAGCAAAATTAGTTAATTTTCTATATAATACTATAAACTTTGAATTCAAAGATCTAATTCAGAGTATTAAAGCAAAATCATGCTATATTCCAAGATTTTTAATCAAATATAAATATCAAAGAATCATAATTATAGTATTCAGTAATAAAATTGAACAAACTGAAATAATGATCAGAAACTTCACTCTTTATAATTCTAAACTAAAATGAAAATTATCAAATATAAAATTATATAAATTATATTTCTTATGTGATCATATTACATGCAAATATACTATTATTCCAGTTCTTTTAACAGTATTTATATAGCAAAAGATCTTTAACAGGTCTCTTCTTACAGTTATAAGAGGAGATAATGGATCAAGTTAAGTTTATTATTAAGAAAGTTATACGTTATAATTATGATGAGTTCAAAATAGTTTTATTAACAAAGCTTCTTTATTACTATACTTTTCACTATTGCTGCCTCTGTCGGCGCTCTGCACATAGACT